CCACGTTATAGGTAAAAGAGATAACCTTACCCTTGTTGTCACGGTATCATATGTATTACATAAGCAGGACAATTCCGTAGCAGCCTTAGCGCCCTATCTGACTCAGCGTTACAAATTAAATGAAACGTCAATAAATAGAAGATTCGCCACCCATTCAATTAATAATATACGAGGCAAAGAACTTAATTCGTTCAAAAATAGATATTCAGCGCCGACTGAGGCTCTTCGACTACCATCTGAATTACCGCTAATATATTAAATTATGCGGCTGTTTCAGCCTACCAGCATTCATTCTGACCACTAACAGTTTGATTCTCATCGTACATACCAGTACAAGATATCTGACTTTGAATTCTTCGCCGCATCGATACATCTCATCAGTTTGTCAAATTCCAAAAATACATCTCCATATCGAATATGATAGGAAGGGGATCGTAATCTAGGTCCCACCTTTTGATTTCAGGATGATGAATGTTTGCGAGTACCGCAGGTTGTTTGAAACAGGACACTTCTATCATCTACCTTCGCTTACCTTTAGATAGACCTCAATGGGTAACATCCGGGGACCCGGCCTCATAGCTCTACAGTAAAACTCGTCTCGCACAGCTTAAGACTATGACGATGTCAGTTTTTAGGGTCCCTCGAGTTGCTTTCTCGACGTGCACAGCCGATGCTTTCTGAAGACCCTCGAGTGTATCAGCACTTATATACTTTAATTGAGTATGCTCTTGGCTACAAAACCCGCTCATATGCATGTCAAACTATGCTTCTACAATCGAATATCCACCTCCTGGCTGGGCACGCTAAACGAAACGCTGTCCCAATGGTCGTATTATCCATCTCCTTGTTCCTGTAGTGCCTGCTTGACTAACTTTATAGCCTCACATATCTTCCATCTTTCAGTGGAACGACCAAGTGCAAGGGCCTCCGTGAAAGGGCCGCATTTCCAGATTTCTGCACGCATTTGAAGAATGACATGCTTACATGGCCATATTGTCGGGCCGTTCCCCTGAGTGATCCATCTAGGTTATTCTAGTTGCCATTTGAAATGATATCTTCCTTTTGATCTTCTCTTAGATATGGAATAGTTTTCAGAGATCATGTATAAAGTTTCTAAGCTCCCCTTTTCTCTCTTTCCTTTGCATATTGTTCACTGTAAGATCTGTGATGTCAATTTTTCGGGCCTCGATTTTCCTACTCTGACTCAAACTACCAATCATATATTAACTCCTCATATACTCTTGCGAAGATCTCTATCATCGATAATCTCATCTTTTTTCTTTACTTCTTACAACATGTCATCAAGTTCTGGGCCAGCTCATAGGCAGGTGCGTCGAGAATCTGCGTCTAGGTATGTAGTGTCACGGGTGGTGGAATTAGTGGCTCTCTTACTGACTTTAATTAAGCACCAACAATGAATCTGATCATCAATCCTACAACCGTGACGCCAACCTCACCCAAACTCGCAGCTCTACTACCACACAAAGGGAAGGATCTCGCTCTTCTTCAACAGAAGTTCGTGCAGAACCACATGCACAGTTTTCATCATGGATCAGCAACCACAAGAAAAATCTTCTGCAAGCAATGGAGCTAGCTTCGGTGACTCCAGTCGTGATGCTAGCTATACCTCAGAGAATGATTCGACTGAATGAGGAGCTCAAAATTATGAAATTGCGTCGCAAAATCCCTTTTCTCATTTAGACTACTTCTCTTATGACGACATAACACTATCTCCTTACGATAACCATCTCACGATAGGGGAAGACACAAACGATCAGTTTCTTACCTATCAGCCGAGAGTACAATTTATGTCAACCACAGAAAACGGCATACGAGCATCAGACTTTGAATTCCAAGCATTGGAAAATTATTCCCCAACCACAGAAATATGGACTCTACAGGAATCTCGAGATGAAAGGATACGTCTCGGCCTACCCGGTGGGCAACAAACCCCAATGACTAGTTTTGACCGTGGTCAAGAGGTTTTCACCGAGGCTCAGAATCACAATTGATACATTACGCTATTGATCGGGGGGTTCCTTTCAATTCTGGCTTATGCGCCAAGCACATCAGCTCCACATTCTGTTCGGAAGTTTCGAATTCCAGAAGTCTTATCGGCATTACATTCTCCCTCTCGACTATCAATCCTGTATTGTTATATGCTTTCACGAAATTTAAAGTTTTCATTACTTCGTTATTTTCGCTTTTTACTTTCTTTCATTGCATTGTGTCGAAAAAGGCTAGATTCCAACTGTCAAGGGAGGAGTGGTCAAGATCGTTTCCCTACAAGACGTATTACGGCATTACGCTGTGCTATATCTTGTTTCGAATTGCCATGATATCATCTTCAGCTGAGATAGAGATTTTAGTTTCTCTTATTTCCTTCACTCACTTGTACCTCGTTTTTGTATATTATTTAGCGACTTAGATTCCGTGATCAGGTTCATCAATTTATAGCACGGAATCATTTTTTTCTTCAAGTTACCCTCTCATTTCCCACATTTGTGTAACTATGCAAAGACTTTTTTACGGGGTAGAACTCCTCTAGCGAGCGAAAGAAAATGGTAGAGAATATTGTTAAGGAGATTATGTCTCCAATTTTTATTATTGAGGTCATGCTAAGCTTCTGTAAAAAGTGATATCTTCAGGAATCTAAAAATAGATACGTTTAGTTTATATGTAATTCCAGAGGAACCGGCCATACATAGCTATAATGTAATTGTCGGGGGAGGATGCACGTCACTCAAGTAGCATTTGCATCGTTGATGGCTTGTAAATATATGAGAAGGGAACATGTTACGCCTAAACAGCAAGTAACCATGGGAAGAATCTGATTTAATACCGTTGACCACATGGTTCCAGCAGCACCAAATCCAGTAACAGCACAATTGATTGTTAGCATATCTAGCAAAACAGCAACTCCACAGAATACAGAACCTAGTTCAAATATCCCAAAGAGGGGTATGGAATGAGTACTGCAGTTATGGTGGTTGATATGATATGATAGTCTAGTGTGGTGAGAATGAAGTGAAAGAACACTGTTAGTGTTAGTGTCAGTGGTGTATGCGAAACTTGGTATTGTAATGGGTACTGTATACGAGTGCACTTTTCAAATTAGAGAATTAGAGATTAAGGTTCTGCGCTGATCTTGTTAGCTCCTATGTAAGTAAACACCCAAGGGAAATTTGTTAGGCAGTGGGTATAAGTGACGTTTGAAATTAATACGTGCTGGTGGATAAGCTGATCTGTGATACGAGGGAGAGCTAGTATGGCCGTTATGTGTATCAAGTAGTAGTCAGTACTAAGTATGATATTCTTCGTCTATATATATTGTCGGGAAAGGGGTCGATGCTAGTGGACTTGGCGTACTGATTACCATTTTATCTACCAGCGCAAAGAAGCAAATCGTTGTCAGCCATAATTGCAATTACTATTACTAGTCAGACCAGTCACGTATTGGATAGAAATACAATATTGTGATGGAGCTTTCGTGTTGACCTCTGGGAAGTTTGTAGATGAGGTTTGAAGAGCTCCACTCCGCTCGGGGATCGATGACTTGGAGTTCCTAGGACTCTCTTTAATTGGTTGCTAGATTCAAGGTATTGGAGGGTCAATAATTGCTGCGGTATGGATGAAATGACTCTTGACCAAATTAGCAGAAAACGAAAATAATGGTTATGAATATGAATGAGTACCCAAAATTGTAAGTACGAACTGCCAAAAAAAAATCTTACCATCGGTCGAGTTCGAGTTTTTGTTACTCGTAAAGATTCTTGCAACTTAGCGGGATCATGACTCCTGTATCTTAAATGCCGCTGTGCTGCATGATCTTACTGTAGTCCGGATAATAGTTTTACAAAATCATCTCTGACTTCTTCCGGGAAACGAATGAACATAGTGCCGAAATACCCCTTCCTGATTTATTATCTGATCAATGCAGGGAAGTTTACTTTATTAATGATGCGATGATATGGAGCAAACCATATCAATTATACAGTGTATTAATTGGGTTGAAGGAAGGCTTTCGAATCTTTTACTCGTACTCGAGTATGATATTCAATAATGACCAGAAGGGAAATTAAATACCGGTACTGTAAGAATACAAGCAAATTGTCTTTCCGGATTGTATATTAGGCGATACTAACCTCACACTTGGAGACTTTCTCTAGACCTACCTCATCACAGTTGCAAAATTTTGCAATATTCACAATCTAAATGTAAGTCTTATGTAAGATTACCAAATGGAAAGAAAGTCTAACACTAGCAAACTTACCTGTCATTGCAGAACAGAATCTTTTGCTACAACCAAACTCAGTATTCATTTACAATACTTCAATAGTCTGTCTCACATTGCTTTTTACATTCAAGTTTCCCCTTCTTATTTCTCCCTCCAACCCTCTTGCACGATTTCCAGGTCCAAGAATTGGGCCGCTGGCTGCGATCACAAGATACGATAACGATAGGATACTACGATGTCTACTATGTTAATACTATACTCGAGTATTGCAATTTGCAAATCGACTAATATTGGTACACGAACAATATCGTTGGAATGCAAACTTGAAAGGAATATGGTTTGGTTGGATTTAGATATTGTTTCGTGGTCTCTCTTTTCAACATCAATCAATACATGCAAGCTAGTGGATGTTCTGACTTATCGTTCGCAAAGGTTGTTTGTATTAGCCTCACTGTACGAGCTTCACGAGCTCCACGAGTTCCACGGTTTTAAAATCTAATACGAGTAGTATATTCAAGTAGCATATATTTAGTATAGTACTCGAGAGTAAGTTACCGGTGTATAAAATAATTAGGGAACTTGAAGGTCTGATGGATATTATATTATATTATATTATATTATATTATATTGTACGTGAAGGTAAGGTAAGGTAAGTTGAATTGAACTGAGATGAATTAAACGAATTGAAGTGAAGTGAAGTTACAATAAGCAAGCAAGTAAGTAATTCTAAAATTGAACTACTTAGACAATATAAACGAGACGAAGCACGCTCAGATGAGATGAAATATACTTACTATCTACTCATATACTAGTATAGTAGGTGAAATAACACAATCAGCGAGTGAAAACCTAATAATAAGCTATATCAATAAATACTAATATAAATATAAGTACAAATATAACAAAAGTATAGTAATAAATGTTATACCAGTTACATACTCGAGTATATACGAGTATGGCATGGTATAGGATTATATAAATATTTGAATAATACTAGTAATAGTAATAGTACTAATCTACAAGGTCTTTAAAGAAAGATACCTACCTACATGAGAAATATAATAGTAATAGTAAATGGAGTTTAGATTTGAGTTGCCAGTGGAGATGAATGTAAAGTTGAAGGATTGTGCTACCTACAGTAGTGAGATTACCATACATATATACTCGTACATACATACATACGATATAGATAGATAATATACATGATTTACCTACCTACTGTGACCTAAAAGATAAGCAAGTACAAAAGTAAATGAAACGCAACGAAACGAAACAATTATTAGCATACTATCAGACCCCCTCCCTCGCCCCCTTTACTCTTTCCCATTCCCACCCCACTATCTCCAAACCCCACTAATCCCACAAACCACCCCAAACCACCCCAACCTACCCCTACCCCTCCTCCGGCACCGGATTCGCCAACCTAGCCAAAACCTTCTCCACCACATCCTGCGCGCCCCTAACCCCCCTCTTCCCAATATCATCCGGAATCAAATGTTCCGCCAGCGTACTCTTCGCACGATCACTATTCAAGAAATCCACCAGCACCTCCGTATCCGCCACCTGATCCGACCAGACCTTCTGGAATTCATCCGCCAATCGGGTGCCGCTCTCCACAGCCGCCAATCGATCATTCTCCAGATCAATCACGCGCTGCTTATAGATATTTTCCAGCGTGACGCGACGAGCGGCCAATTGGCGATTTTCGGTCGCCCGACGCGTGGCCGCTTGTTGTTCGTCTGCTGCGAGTTTTTGCGCGCGTACGGTGAGATCTCGGGCGCGAGTATCGAGTTGCGCTTGTTGGGCGGTGATGTTCGCACGATCGCGATCGAGAGCCGCGCGTTGGGCGTCGAGATCCATGGCTAGCTGGTCTCGTTCGGGTCCTTCGGTGAAGATCCTTAAACTTTCTTTTGCTTTGAAGGCGTGGGAGCGTTGGAGTTTTACTTCGTTGAGAAGATAGGTGCGTTCGGTGTCGGTGACTTCGGCGACGTCGCGAAGCGATTGGTTGTCGCGACGGAGTTGATGTAGTTCTTCGAGATCGTCGCGGGTTTTCTTCTCCCAGACCGATACTCGTTCGGGCCAGATGGGTTTAACGACGCTGACGACGGTGGGGTTGCGTTCCATGTCGCGGGTTACTTTGACACCTGGGTGTTCTGCATGAGCGGGAATCACAAAGATGGTTTTGAGATTGTCGTTGCGGAGACGGTAGTAACGTGTTGTGATATCAATGGCCGTGATACCACGGGAATATTCTTTTCCGCCCTTAACTTCCCAGAGACGTTCACCTTCAAGACCGAGCTGTAGATGATTTGCACGTAGTTGTTCATCAACGCGTTCTTTTTTTTCAAACTCGTCATTGAGGAATTGCCAGACATCGTCGCCAGCATTAACGAGCACGAAGCGATCTTGGGGGTAGACGAGCTCGCGTCCGCTGCGACCGTCAGGACCAACGCGAGAGAGCGCTTGATGCGGGACCACAGCTTCACCTTTCATTACGTCCATGGCGTTCGCGTGGAGTCGTTCGAGGTTATGGAGGCGGGCGACTAGTCTTTGAATATAGAGGATCATTTGACCAAGGAGAGTTGTTTCTGCTAAAGGTCGATTGTCGTCGCCAACTTCGTGAGGTAGGACCCCTAGAAGGCCTCCTTTAGCGCTATATTCGTGATCAATTAATTCGAGCACTTCATTTGCATGTTTGAGAAGTGCTTCGTGGGTAGCGTATGGAAGGGATGGGCCGTCAAGAGGTGCAGGATCAACTGAATGTAAGGGACAAATGTCAATTTCCATGAAATGATCCGGCCGTCCTGGATTTACCATCGTTCCAGGTTCGAGGAATTGAGGCTCAAGAGTATTGAGTAGAGTCGGGAGCGGAAGATTGTGATGGACTGTATTATTCTCATATACATTATTGAGATCGTTGAGGAAATCGAAGGTTTCATTTTCGTTAAAATTAGGAGCTCTCATACCAGCATTCCTACTATCGATAGCTCCTGGTTGAGTTGAGATGGTAATTTGTTTAAGAAGTATGACAAGTGCTTGAGCATGTTGCTTCAACTCCAGCACTGTTGGTGCATGACCTTTGGTAGATAGGTAATTACAGTTGACATGCCTGAGAAGTGGAATTATGTCCGGTTGATTGAGAGCGAAGATGGAACGATATGCCTCTGAGAATTTGGTGCGCTGTAGTGCTCCACGAGCCAAACCACTGATTCCTTTCGGAGCAGGACCTATAATTGGAGGAGCTGCCCCACCACCAGCAGCATCTCCGCCAGCTTGTCCAGCTTGTCGTTGCAAAGCGGCCCCGCCAGCAGTTGCTGCTGGTGCATCCCTCATTAATATATCCGCCATGACTTTTCGTGTTGTCCTATCGTGTGTTGAGTGACCTTGAACAATCGTTAATTATAGATTGATTAGTATCTGTCTACAATCTGAAGGATGTTCATAGCAGTAGATGCAAAAATTGAAATATCATGGTGAAAGAAAACTTAAGAAACGACAATGACGCTTTAGGAAATGTGTACACCGCATGTTGTGGAGCTTGAGTTCAGACAATGAAATATAAGGAATATATTTCATTCAAAGCTAAAAAGATATTAGAATTTCCTTTGATCTGATGAACAATAGATTTCCTGCTTTCAACTTTCAACCTTTCGTGATTCTTTTCTATTTGAAGTGTCTGAGTCGCAAATCGGCATTTTCTTGGCGTAAAATTCTGGTTTTGGGTAAAATGTGAAGACATCTCAACACCAGGTATCAATATAGTCATCATGAAAACAATTTACACTCGTAAATTCTATAATATCAGCCGATAACCCATCTTCACTATCTTACAGATTGAGTATAAAGACATCTCAATATTAAACAATAATATATCTATTATAAAACATTATACACTTGTAAATTCTATACTCATAATATCAATTAATATTCTATCTTCACTATCTTATAAATTAAGTATAGAGACATCTCAACACCAGATATCAATGTATTCATTATAAAACAATTTACACTCGTAAACTCTTTACTCATAATATCAGCCGACATCCTTCCTATCTTCACTAACTTATACATTGAGAATATAATGAAGGGATATGAAGTACGAAGTAACTTGTCCATCCATCATCATGATAATCGAAGAAATACCACGGCGTGTCCAATGGATAATTATAGTATAAAGAAGAACAAATCGCTCTTTAACTCTAGAAACATACCGGTATATCACGAATATAAGCTCTCTATTATAATAATAATAATCAAAGTATGTGGTATTTGGCGGGGTAAAATGATATATCCTGGTAGAGGAAGAAGGACGATTCAGCTTGGCTGTTTATGCATACCGTCTGTATGATATACCTAGTAGATATAGATTTCTTGCGCCTCAATAATATACCGGTAGTGAAATGATAAAGTGATATACTCGAGTAGAAAATAATGTAAGAAGAACCTCAACCTTAACCTCAATCTCAATCTCAATCTCAACTCCAACTCGAGCAATAAGTGAGCATCATCCATTCAATCGGGTGCCGAAAGCCATCTAATAAGTATCGGCGGCTAAAGAAAGGTTGGTTGGGAAATCAAGGGACCTTACTAATGCATCTCCTAATCAATTTCAAGGACGTAAATCTTTAGATCAATCATCAATCATTTCCCGAAAAACAAACATAGCAAAACTTCTATTGGCATTTTGTGTTATTACCTTACCCAGCTAGTATCTGATTGACCAATCTGATAAATTAGCAATTATAAGACTTACAAGTTTAAGCTTTTTGACTTCCCGAGCATACAACCTTGTATAAATAAGATAAGCTACTAATTAAGACAATAACAACAACAACCTCGCTTTTTGAGGGAACGAATCATTGGACCAGAGTATTAATAATAATAATAATAATAATAATAATATATTATTATTATTATTATTATTATATATGCTGGTATTGGATTGGACTGTACTGGACTGGAACTTATACAGTACCTATCGCCATTCAAAGCCATTTAAGATCATCAAGTTAGACTAGTCTTAATAACATCGTCTACCTAACTAGTATATTAACAGTACACATCGTCCCCGTCCACTACCGGTATGTACAGTAGGTATCACAAAGTAATCAAAAAAAGTGGCTGGTGAGAATAGATATGGAAAAGAAATATGGATATTTATCCCAATTCATTCAGCTATACAAGGATAGACCCATGATTTTGGTGCATGCAAAACTGGAATTATCTGCATCCATGTCATTCTTTTGTGAAATTGCATTCTGTGTTGTAGCGTTTTCTTCTGATTTCCCGTCTTTTGATATGTTTGAAGATTGAAGATTGAAGTGAGTGAGTGAGTGAAGGGTTGAGTTGAAGGAGGATTTAATTCAATTCAGCTGTTAAGAAGATAAGTTGAAGATTGATCTAGAGACATGTTTCTAGAGTTTACACTTGTACTCGTACATTGTACTTACTTGCGGCATCTACCGTATGTCCTACTACTTTATTTATTGTCTTGGTACAAGCCACACCCTTCTTTTCTTTGTCGCAAAAAGATCCCACTAGAATAACCTAGGTATATAGATATCTTGATGCTGTTGTGGCGACAACATATATATAATAAATATCCTTTCATACATCTTTTAAGCATTTTTCATCGTTGTTGCTGCCTCGAAAGAATAAATCAATAAATCCTTTTTTTTCCTACCTTGATTTTCGAGGACATCTCTTTCCTTTCGATTTTATTCATCATTCATCATCCATTCATCATCCATTCATCATTTTTCTTGTTTCATCATCAATATGATTCACAGGAAACGAAGAAATAACAGCCACTGAATTAATCTTTCATATGCAACGAACCGACGAAACATTATCGTCATATCTCGATTTTCCCTGCTTCTTTCTCGCTTCAAGAGATTAACAAGGGATATTTTTGGTCCAAGCTTTTATTTAAACATTTAAACCCAACCCAGCGAGCGTGTTTGTCTCAAGACTTTTAACAGATCGAAAGGAAAACGAAGACGAAAACGAAATTCGACATTCCTCTCTGTTGATTTTTGCTCACACGAGCAAAAACAACAACAATTTATAACCTCAAAACCAATTGACCCGACCCGACTCCAAGATATCTTGAGGATATCACTTTACAACCAACCATGCCCTCTACTACTACTACTACCACCAACAGCGGTGGATCCAGTCTATCTGGATTAGTAGCAACTTTAGTACCTGTACTTATTGTTACTTCTATTTACCTCGTAATCTTCTTAATATTGCGAAGATCAAATGTGAGATGGTATGCTCCTAGAACTTATTTAGGTGCATTGCGCGAAGAGTGAGTAAAGTTGGGAAGAGATAGGAATGACAGTCAGTACTGATATCAAAATAGAGAGCGTACGAAACCACTCCCATCAGGATTCTTCAATTGGATTGGACCTTTCCGTAAAATCCCAGATATATATGCACTTCAACACCAAGGCCTCGACGCATATTTGTTCCTTCGATTCTTGCGAATGACGGTTGTTATTATGTTTGTCGGTTGCTGTATTACCTGGCCAGTTCTGTTCCCAGTCAATGCTACAGGTGGAGGTGGAGCACAACAACTTGATATACTCTCCATGGGTAATATTGATAGTTCTACATCAGCGGGAAGGAATCGTTACTATGCAACCTGTTTTATTGGATGGATCTTCTTTGGATTGTAAGCTCAACCCCGTTTATTCTTTTTATCAGCTTATCCACTTGCCATGGAAGATCCTTGCATCACAATTGAAGCTTTTGATTCCCCAGACTCTCACTGATAACCAACTTTCTAGTGTTCTTTTCCTTGTCACAAGAGAAACCATCTACTACATCAACCTCCGACAAGCCTTCTTACTCAACCCAACTTTCGCCAACCGCATCTCATCAAGAACGGTTCTCTTTTTATCAGTCCCAGCCCCGTATCTCGAGGAAAGCAAACTTCGAACGGTCTTTGGAAGTTCAGTTCGACATGTTTGGATAGCTGCAGATACCGAAAAAGTGGATGAACTCGTTGAGAAGCGTGATGACATTGCGAATCAACTCGAAGGTGCAGAGGTCAAACTAATCAAGACGGCCAATGGCGAGAGGCTTAAGGCGATCAAGAATGGCGCTAGTCAAGAGGAACAACCTGTTATAGATGATAATGGCGAATCTGGATCATTGGCCTCTCGATGGGTTCCTCAAAAGAAGCGTCCTACACACAAGCTTGGCAAATTCGGTTTATATGGAAAGAAGGTGGATACAATCGACTGGGCGCGAAACCAATTGGAAACCGTCATCCCGGAAACCGAAGCTGCACAGAGCACTTATTTGGCTGGAGAGACTGAAAGAGTCGGATCAGTATTCATCGAATTCGCTCACCAATCGGACGCTCAAGTCGCCTTTCAAACCCTCGCTCATCATCAGGCTCTTCAAATGTCTCCCAGATATATTGGCGTTCATCCTAACGAAGTCATATGGAAATCCTTGACTGTCTCATGGTGGCAAAGAGTTGTTCGTAGATTCGCTGTCATCGGATTTATCGCTGCGTTGATCGTTTTCTGGGCTATCCCAGTTACGGCTGTCGGTCTTATTTCCAACGTCACATACTTGGAATCATTTGGCTTTCTTTCATGGTTAAAGGCTGTACCAAATTGGATTATGGGCGTGATCTCTGGTCTCTTACCTTCCGTGGCTCTATCGATTCTCATGACCTTTGTCCCCATTATCATGAGACGTAAGTTACCCTTATCAAAGTTGAGATTCACCATGCTGACATCAAACAGTTTGCGCAAGACTTTCCGGCGAACCAACCACTGCACGTGTGGAACTCTTTACTCAAAACGCATACTTTGCTTTCCAAGTCATCCAAGTTTTCTTGGTTGTAACCATCGCATCATCTGCATCATCGGTTTTATACCAACTCATCAACAACCCAACCGGAATTCTTCCACTTCTTGCAACCAAATTGCCTAGTGCCTCCAACTTTTATATCTCCTACTTTATAGTTCAGGGATTGACTGTTGCTGCTGGAGTAATTTCCCAAGTGGTGGGATTCTTCGTCTTTAAACTTCTCTACAAGTTCTTGGCCGGTACTCCCAGAAAGATGTATGCGAAATGGACTAGCTTGAGTGCAATCTCATGGGGTAGTACTCTTCCAGTATTCACGAATATTGCCGTGATTGGTATCACTTATTCCTGTATCGCTCCACTTATAATGGGCTTCGCTACTATTGGCATGAGTCTATTCTATCTAGCCTACAGATACAACATTCTCTTTGTCACCGACACCCAAATTGACACCAAAGGTTTAATCTATCCACGAGCCCTTCAACAACTCCTCACCGGAGTCTACCTTGCAGAACTTTGCCTCATTGGTCTTTTCGCCATCGGTAAAGCATGGCCACCAATGGCCCTCATGATCATATTCCTCGTCTTCACCATCTTGTACCACGTATCTCTCAACGCAGCAATGGACCCCCTCCTCTACACTCTCCCCAAAACTCTCGAAGCCGAAGAAGAGTCTATCCGCGGCGAACTTGAAGCTGGCACCAGCGGTACCCCAACCGTCTCTCACGAGAAACACAACGAGAAGAACGGTTCCTCAGACATCGCACCCCACTCCAAACCCCAAGGTGGCGTCTTTGCCAAATTCTTCAAACCACACATTTACTGCGATTACGCCACCATGCGCGCATTTGTTCCACACGGTAACATCGATGCTGATAACCTATACGACGAAGTCTCGGCCCGAAACGCATATTTCCCTCCTTCAGTTATTTCTGAGGCCCCGCTTCTTTGGATCCCAAGAGATGAGGGAGGAGTCAGTGCGCAGGAGGTTGCGCATACGAGTAAGGTTATTCCGATTACGGATGAGGGGTGTTCGCTTGATGAGAAGAATCATTTGGTTTGGGATGTGGAGGGGGCGAGACCACCGCTTTGGCAACCCAAGGTCTTTTATTGAGTTGGACTGTGGGAGTTGAGAATGAGAAGGAGAGAGGGTGATTAATTGATTGTGGAGGGAGTTTTATGGATGGATGGATGGATGGATGGATGGGTGCGTGGGTTGGTCTTTTAGGACTACTCTACTTGAGACGTGATTATTTTATACCCCGAGAGCAGAGAATGGATGGATGCATCATGATGAGCTAGCTGATTTAGATTTTGCACGAAGCTTCTTTACTCGTAATAATTTGTAATACAAAGAGTTTACCGCCGATTTTCACTTCTTTTTCTAATTGAGTTTGCGGGAGTCGATATTGTGATACTGTAGATACTGTAGATACCTTTGATATTAATAAGGTCAAGTACAAGTGAACAGAGTTTGTTAGATGTAAAGTTAGATTCACAGTCAATTGTTCAAATAGTAATGAATACACACGCTTACATAATCATGATCAAGAAGCCGCATCCCTCCGCATCATTTATTATTAGTGAATCTTGGGGTGGTCCGAGCTTGAACTTGATTATGATAGATAACATAACTTGCAGTTTAGTTTATCTGGGTGGGTGCTGCTCTCTGTTCTATCTTCCTCTTATCTTGTGTTGTTCTTGACGAATTTGATACGTTTATAATTGAGATCTTGAGGATTTTATTGAGAGGATTTCGAGAAGTTTATATTTGGTTTGATTGGTTTGAGTTGAGTTGAGGCAACGCAACTCGAGGAATTATTTTCACTGGTGAGGGTGAGGGTGGTGTTGATTGAGGATTGATTGATTGAAGTTTGAGGGAAGAAGGGGATTTGATTGAACGAGTTGGTTGACGAAAGAGAAGAGGGGATTGGGATTTGAGGGATTGAGATTTGAGGGTGCTGGATTTCGAAAACGAAACGAAAACGAAAAGGAAAAGGAAAACGAAAGATATGGGGGATATGAAGGATGTGAAGGTGGAGGAGAGTAGGGTAAAGGTGGAGGGGGAGGCGGAAGGGGAGAAAGTGAAGACTGAGAAGGAGATCGAAGTACAGGATGCGCAAGATGCGCAGGATGCTCAGGATGATTTGGATGCGCTGGAGGGGTTGGAGAGTGAGGCTAAGGAGTTTATGAAGGTATGTTTGATGTTTGGTGTGTGGTGTTTTTTGGGGAGGAGAGGTGAGGAGAAGGGGAGGAGAAGGAGAGGAGAAGGAGAAGGGGAGGAGAAGGGGAGGGATGGGGGAAAGGGATTTTGAGGAGGGGTTTGAAAGGGGATAATGGATGAATACTATACTAATCTTGTGTGTTATGTGTAGGATTCAGAGATCGATAGGATTTTAAAATCGTTTCGTTTGGATGCGTAAGTTTATTGTTTTTTTTTCCCCTTGGATGTCGGGATTGGGGATTGGGTATTGGGGATTGGGGATTGAATTGAGAGTTTGAGAATGGATTTGGATTTGACGGAATGGCATACAATGCGCTACAATCAAAAGCTAATAAGAATCCCAAACAGCTACGCCGTTCTTGACCTCCAACCCGGTGTCGGCGAATCCGATATCAAAAAATGCTACCGCGTCAAATCCCTCCTAATCCATCCCGATAAAACGCGCAATCCACTTGCGCCCGACGCATTCGACCGATTAAAAAAAGCCCAAACAGAACTTATGGATGAGAAGCACCGGGAGCGACTCGATGAAGCGATTGCCGATGCGCGGATGTTGATTATGCGAGAGAAAGGATTAGGGATCGATAGCATAGAGGTGAAGGAACCAAATGAAGGGTTCAAGAGGGATTGGAGGGAGAAAACTAAGTTTGTGTTGATTGAAAATGAACAGAGGAGGAGGAGACAGGTCAAGGCGCAGATGCAGGAGGAAGGGAGGGAAATGAGGAAGGTGGAGGAGGAACAGGAGAGTAGGAAGAGGAAGAGGGAGAGTGAGGTCAAGTGGGAGGCGAGTAGGGAGGAGAGAATTGGTAGTTGGAGGGAGTTTGCTAAGAAGGGGGGTGGAGGGGGGGGTGCAGGTGGTGCGGGTGCGAGTGGAGGTGGGAGTGGGAATGGGAGTGGAGGTGGGGGGGAGAAGAAAAAGAAGAAGAAGGTTAAGCCGTTGGGTTAGGGGTAGAAGTAGGGGGTATGGATGTGGGAGAGGGGGGAGGTGTATGAAGGGTGGAAATCGGAAATCGGAAGGAAATCTTGCAGATAGATGGATCATCCATCTCCTTATGTAATTAAGCCTCTGAGCTTATAAAGAACATCAACTCACCCATCTAACTACCTATCTTTGTATCCTACCAAATAGAAGCTTGAAACAAATGCGTTTATTAGCCACTTATTAGGCTCTTAGGGGAGTTGGGGATTATCAAATCACACATCATAACATCATATATTATATATCATTGCTTTAGAAGATCTTGTATGTCTAATGTTCATGATCTACTTACTATTCTACTTCTATACATACACATACCTAGTACTACCATACCACTATACACAAACAATCCTCCTCTGTTTCTAATTTTAGAGAAAGGAAATGTTATACTGAGTACATAAATACATACATAAATACATAAATAAATACATCTAATCTACATCTAATCTAAACATATAAAACATTCAGGTTTTATCTACTCAAGAGTACTGTACTAGTATATTAAGTAAGCTACTAACTACACTAACTACCTAGGTACATGGAAAGATCTCTTTATCAATCCTTTCATTTATTCATCCATCCACCCATCCCATATAATCAAATCATCATTCTCTCTTCCTTCCTTCTTTCTTTCTACTACTGAGTACAACATACATACCTACATCATACTATATCTAGATGTTAAGATATTAAGATATCATTGGTAGCTTTGTGGTGCCCTTCCACTTCCACATCCACTTCAACTTCAACTTCAACTTAACTTTAACCCCAACCCCAACCTCAACAATGGCATCACAAAAAATAATCCGCCACCGGTTTCTTCGCCGGCATCCCCCTCGAATCCTGCGGCGCCGCATGAAAAACCCTATATCTCCTCGCCGGTCCACTCAACGCCACGTGCCCCTCCAACAGCGGCGCATTAGCCCCATTCCCTCTACTAACTTCGCCATTACTCCTCGCCATAATACCATTTCCAGTACCATCCTCTCCCAGCTCCATAATTGCCGCTACATTTCCACATCTGTAGCAGTAATTTGGCGCTGACCAGACGGTCACGATACTGTGGTCGAAAGTTTCCTTGAACCCTTCCATTACTAATTGATGGGCGCGAGCGATCATCGAGAGATCATTGGTGTAGTTGAACATCTTGACAATGTCGGCTCCGAAGAGGAAACCGGCGCCGCGGGGGGAGAGACCCCAACCGTCGATTTCGTCGGGGTCCGACCAGAGGAGATCGCACATGGCGCCTTCGTGGGGGACTTCTTGTTTGCGGTCTAGGAGGCGGATTTTATCGACGGCTTGGATGAGGGGGGAGAGTCCTCCGTGCACGCAGAATACGGCGCCCGAGGAATTGCCTGAACTACCCCCGCTGTATCCTGATGCTCCTGAACCGGGAGGGCCGTTGATGCTGGAGAATTTGCTTTGGGGACTTGGGGAACCCTTTTCTGATGAACTCAGTTCTAAATCCAAGGATTGCTTTCTCTTGTTGATCCTTTCTCTATTTCGCAGGAATTTGTTCATAATACTTCCATCTACATTCAATATCTCAATCTCAACATCCTCGTCGTTAAATTCTTGCGTCGAAGTGGCGCTGTGTTCACCGTTTGGCATAGATGTAGGTTGTAGACTGCTGGATGCTCCAAGCACAATTGCGCCGAGAGCAAGATAATCAAATACTTCGCAACAGTATCTCCATACATTTGCGCTTCCGTACTTTCGTAAACATTCATCGTAAAATCCGTATACAGTCGTAATTTGTCTAGATTCGTGATTACCCCGGATCAAGGTCATTCGATCTGGATATCGTACTTTGAGGCAGAGTAGGAGGAGGAAAGATTCTAATGAATAGAAACCGCGATCGACAAAATCACCTGTAGAAGTCAGTAACGAGCATGCCATCTACTGTTCAGAGGTCTTACCCATAAATAGATAATTCGTATCAGGTACATCACCCCCCACCCTGAATAATTCCATAAGATCATGAAATTGCCCATGAATATCACCACATATCTGCATAAATTCGTCAACATCGACCCTTCATTGAGAGAACCCATCAAGCCATACCGTAACTGGCGCTGTTACTGTGACCACATTCCCCTCCTCTATCAACAATTCTCTTGCCTTATGACATAATTCTCGAACTTCTGCTTCGGGGATAGGTCGACAAGCTCGCAATTGCGATATGGCTCTGAGTCAAGTCAGATTGGAACCTTGCATAGAAGTCGCAGAAGCCGTACCTATCCAAATCACTCATCTTTACCACTGAAGCTCTTCAATCTGAACTCTCCGGTCCTGGTGTGTAAAGTAGAACCGAATTGAGGTCTGCCAAGCGGATGTAATGTAGATAGCTCCAAGATGTCGACGAGGCGCACTCTCAATCTATCGGCCGTCTAGAATCTGCAACTCAGCTCATTCGAAAGAACCAAGCTTCGAATTTCAATATGTCCGATATCTCTTATCAATTTCTCCTATAAACAACGCGTGAATGTCAATGGCGCATCGAGACTTGTGGGAGCGCAAACGGATGGCGAAATATCCTAATGATCTCAAAGCTTCGAGAACACCAGTATCCAGGAATAAAAGACCAGATAAATCCCACTTCAAAGTCACCGTCTCAAAGAAATTAAAAGAGATGTCGTTATAAATTCAATTAATGTTGATGTTCATTAAGTACTTTATCAAAATTGATGATGGGATTATAATTTTCCCCAGCCTCGATTGTGATAACGCCTCTAGATGACGCTAGTGAATAAATAGAGTAAGTGAAGTTGAAGAAGCTCAAAAGCTTTGACAACCCGATGATGTTCCAGCATTTTTTATACCCATATACATCAATTCCAAACCCCTCACATTCTCAATCCATGTCTTTATTTTCACCAAAAGTGCAATAATAAGTATGTATGTAATTCCTTATTATGAAAAGAAACTCATCACTAATACCAATCCAAGGCACATTTCATTCATTTAAAATTAAACTCACCCCTCAACATTCATTCCCTCAATTTGAACTCAAGCGCCAAAATCATGCCACCTCGTCTTCATCCGCGCTCACGATTTACCTCTTCCCTCTTCGCGGGCACACTCTTTGCCAGTTTTTTCGTCGTGGCTCTCCCGCATGTTCTGCCCTGTCCGGCGCCGCGCGTCGCATATGCGGATGATGGGTCGGGATCACAGAGGCCGAGGAGGAGAAGGAGGAAATGTCCTGTTGATGAGGTGGGAGGAGGTGAACACGAAGAGGGGCAGGGCCAGAGGGAGAGGCGGGAGCAATTGAAGGTTGAGGAGAGGCAAATGGAAGCGAAAAGTGAATATAAGGATTTCAATGCAAAGATACGAGAGGAGGTGGGTGAGGAGAGGGAATTGGATGATGTGGAGGAAATAGAAGGGGGAAGGATCTCTACGAAGAGGGAATGTCCGGTGCCGAAACCTGGAGGGATTGTAGGGGGGATTTTGGGCTTCAAGTCGAGTGTTGATGGGAAGGGCTCGAAACCACCTTGAATGAGGTACATTATTTAGGAAAGGCTTGAATACTAGAAGAGGGAATTAATACAAGTGATATTGTATATATCTGGCGATTGTACATATTCTGGGAACGTACATATTGTGCTACTCAATGTATGATCCGATACCGAGTTCATACACTCGATCTAATGAAGACGAAATGAATCCTTGGGGTGTATATGTAATTTTTAAAATTCATACGGATATGGGCGAGTTACACTCAATGATACACACATGCAAGGCTACAACTCCCCAAATCCTAAAACCAAATGACATCTACTCGTACAGTACATGATCCAAAAACCGCAGTATTTTCCCTTCCCATCCCATCTTTTTCAATCAAATCAAATCAAACAAATCAAACTCGACTCCCGAATAGGGACCCTGCCTGCCTGCCTCTCAAAAACACCGCAAACTCCAACTAACAACCATCCATCCATCCATCCATCCATCATCCAAGCATTTATTCGTATTCGTAAGTCTTACAATTAACCAATTCCAATCACCAACATTTCAATTTCAATCACCAACACATCCATCCATCCACCTACCTAGTATATTAAATTAAGTACGCTCGCTAGTGATTTTAGCTTACTGTATGTAGCTCAGTACAGTAACCAATATTCAGAAAGGGATTTTCTATTTCTATCACCTGTGAAAGTTCACTACTGTATTTTTTAATATAATATATATATGAGTATATGTGATTTATTACATTCCCCCTTTTATATCTATCCGGTTTAAGCGAGTATTGATACTGATACTTAGATGGATAATGGAAAATATTATATTACTCGGTATATGTAACAACCCTTAATACCAATACCAATGCCAATCCCAAGGAACACTATTTTAGCAAATTGTATCACATACATTGAATAAATAATATACATACCATACACTCCACTCCACTCCACACCACACAATCCTCCTGCTACTTCAAACAAGATAAGTACTCGAGTAAATCAACATCATAACATCATAACTACATAGAAGTATTCGAGTATTCGAGTATTCAGTATTCGCCCTCACTGGCATATTGCAAGAATTATCCACCCCACTGGCATATTATATTTCCCTCGACTTCCTAGTACACACACACACACACACACACACATACACATCTAAATCCAGTTACTGTATTTTTTTTCTTTAACTTTCTTTAACTTTATATTACTGTACATACTCGTAAAGAGAAAATAAAAGCTAGCTATAACCTACATACATACATACATACATACATACATACATACAGGCAATATATTCCCAACACGAAGATCCCACTTTACCTTACCTTACCTTACCTTACATTGCGATTTTCCAAAAACGCCATTTAATACATACTATATCCTGAAAAAAGTGAGGGTCCCTGATGATATATCATATCATATCATATAACAATGCCCAGTCCAGCCATCAATATACTCCCCACCCCCAGCAATCCCCAACCCACACCTCACACCTCACACAATCCCCAACCACTTATACTCCCCATGAGCAAGAATAACAAATTCCCTCACCATACCAAACCCCACCGGTTCCACCTCCGGCGCCAAATTCACCACCTCATCCCAATCCGTCGCAATCGGCATACTATCCACCACCTCCTCCCAACTAGTGTACTTGCCCCTCCTCCTCACATCATGTCCCTCCACCGACGCCAGCAACGCCGCTCCAAACCTGCGTTTGGCTTCCTTGGGATCTGCACCCATGAAATACTTAGGCACCTTCCACGCTTTGATTCTCTTCATATGATCCTCGAAACTAGCCGCGCCGTGCACTTTTTCGAGACACTCGTTAAAGGAGATGCCTAATTTTTTGGCGGCTTCTAACACCGATGATCGGATTTCTTTTTCTTTCATGTTGTCCGCGGCTTTGTTGACCCAGGTGTTGAAGTCGGTGGGGTCGAATTCCTTGCCACTTTGGGCCATGTATTCGAGGAGCTGTGCTTCGTCGACATCGTTGGCTTGAGCCCAAGATATCAATGATAGATGTTTCACCATCTCGAGTTGCTGTGCCTCGAGTTCTTCTTGACTTTTCTTGGCGGCTGCGGCGGCCTTTACGGGGTCCCCGGCTTGCAATCCATCTTTCACGGCGGCGGCGTGTTCTAAATCCTTCTTGGCTTGTTTATCTTTTAACAAGCACATGTTGGCAAGTCTGGATAGCAGTTGATATTCCCTCTGCTCTTTCTCTTCATCTGCCTTGATTCTTAATTGGTGCTCTTGCCTGTGCCGTTCCGCATCTGTCATGGGAGTAAACCCAAGGGCGCCTAGTCTTCTTTTCCTCGCGATACGATCTCGTTTCAGTCTTTCAGATGCATTTTGATGATTCAAGGCTCCCGTTTCCCGAACTTCTTTGTCTAAACGTGTCTCGTTTATGTGATTCAAGTTTGATTCCAAAGCCCATCGATTCTCCGGTAACGTCAAGACCTGTGAAGGGGCAAGGCCCGCGAGCGGATCTGTCATCGGCGGGATTAGGACTTCGTTCGCATCCTTCCTACGCACATTGAACAGCACTCTTAGACGCTCCAGCTCTCGGACCCTTTGTAGTGCTTCACGTGCTTGGAAATCAGCTTCGGTGCTAGCAGCTGGATCAGCTTGCGCCCCCGATGGTGCACCAGAACCTGTCGTTGCGAGTTCCTTGGCTCCCTGATTAATCTGATCAACCAATTGTTCCAGTCCCATTTCCAGCTGCTTCTTTTCCTGTTTCTGAATATCCTGTACCTTCTCCTTATCTCTTTCTTCTATGTCGGCTCGGAATCGTTTGGCGTCGGGTGGGAAGTAACCATCGTGATCAGCCTTTCGTTTTAGACTTGCAGCTTCAGCTGCAGCTGATTCGGCATCGATTTCCTGACGTGTTCGTTCCTCAAATGCTTGACCGGCTTGTGCTTGAAGTCTTTCGGTTTCAGATTTATGATGTGCCCACCATTCACGTCTAGTCTCATCCGTAGGACCATCCATCGCATCTCTATAATCAGCTGCAAGCCCTCCCCACGCCGTGTCGGCTGTCGGCTCAACCATTGTTGCCTTGGCCCATGGTTGCACGCTAAATATCTCCTGGAAATGAAATTGTGCAGCGACCCATTTGAGCTCAGCTTCTGCACTCGTGAATGGCAAAGGCCCAGGCGCTCCCCAGTCTTCGTTCTCGTTAAAACCGCGAGACGAAAGATTATCATCGTCTAGATCCATCTTCCTAGTTGGTTTTGCATTTATCCACTTTATCCACGTAGGATCCTGCTCGCCTTCACCCTCATCATCTTCCAGGATTTTACCCACTATTGCGTTTTGCCAGTAATACCCTGCGGTAAGGCCGAAGTATTCGTCTTTTAATGCTCGTCTCAGTTGGCTCCATTGGCGAGACCAATCTTTTGTTCTGGCACCAGCCGGCTGTAAGTAAAACCGACCACCGACGCCAAACCAGAAAGATACTCCACCACCCTCGGTCTGTATGATGGCAAATTCTGGCAATGGTCCGGCAATTTCACCCTTTCTGACTTCGATCCCGTTGATGATCAAAAGTCTTCCGTCCAAGTTAGTAACAAAGTATCGACTTTTTAAGTCGGAATCCTTTCCAATTTCATCGTTCCAAAGTTTGACATCCTTGGGGAGATATGATTGTGTTTCATCGAATTTCGGAGGATAACTTCGAGGTGGCATGTCCCGATAATACTTTTGCTGCATCTCAACCCACCATGGATCATCGACTCTCATGGGTCTATATTCCTTTTCCTTCATCTTGAAAGTTGGTTCAATGATACTGTCAGTGTCTCGGAAGTCGGTTGCCTTTGAAACCACCTCGCCGGGTTTGGAGGGAGTTGAAATTTTCTGGCATCGTCGAATGTCCAGGGGAAATATGTCCGGGTTCTGGTAGTTCTCGGTATTTTCAAAAGATTCTCTATGGAAAGGGTCATCAGTTTTGTCAAGAGTCTGACTATCTATATCATTGATTGGGATGTTGTAGATTGTGCCTGTTACTTTATCCCAGAACTTTTTGAGTTTTAAAAGATATGACTGGTCTTGGGAAAGTGCGTCTTCAGGCCCAACTTGGCTTTGTGCATATCTGTACAGGGGGCGGAGAACCTGTAGGAGATAGTATCAGTAATTCGCTTTCATATAGCATGATGAGAGGAAAACGAGAACATACAGGGTAAGGACTTCTTCCACAATCCACACCGCCATCAATCTCAAACTGGGAATTCTTCAGAAAGGCATCGGGCTCCTCGTCCATATCGATCTTCAGTTCCTCTTCACCAACTTGTCTTGGTCGCCAAACACTATTCTCAATAGGATCGTAATATTCGTAAAAACTCGCGTCATGTTCATCCGGAACAGTGTATTCAGCAAAATCTTTCATGGCGAAAAGTCCTCCGCTGGAATTATCATCCTCGATTAGCAAGGGCCTTGTGAGATCATTGGGATCAAGTCCGTCGTCGTCCTGGTCATCCTCATGCTCGGCACGATCGATGGCGTTGTCAGGTGCGGCACTTTCTTCAGGCCTGCCTGGAAGCGCCTTGTCAATATAGTCCTTCGGATCAGGTTTCTCCAGCTCTAGAATCGCCGGATCAATTCTTCCCTTGTGCGCTTGCAAGTTGATTATATAATGCGCTTCCTGCCATGAATACTCAATATATCCGGTTCCCAGCTTCCGATTAGCGTCCAAACGTTTTCTGAATTCTTCAATGACTGCCTGACTCGTTCGTTTGGAAGCGTTTTCGATATACTTCTCCTCCAGGTCTTCAACCGGTTTCATAGCGCTCCACACAGGTCGACTAGTCAATTTGCAGCGACGGACTTCGGCCTGTCGCTCCCAGTGAGCCACGGCGATGGCGTACTCGATGGTACCGGGATGAGCTTCGAGTTTGGGATCCTTTCGCCAGAGTTCCTTAGTGAGGAGTTCTAGGACGCGTTCTCGTTCGTCGTCATAGAGCTCGTCGTGTACGTAGTCCATGGTTAGAGGGAGATACTCGGGCGCTTTGTTTTTGTAATCTTTGAAGTCGTCCCAGCGGGGTCGATACCAATTGCGTCGATGCCATTCTTCGAGCAGCTCGCTAAATTCGACATACCCATTTCCCAGAGTACGGTTTGACTTTAATGTCTGTTTGAGATTATCGATGGCGCGTTTTCTGAAATCTTCGCGTCCCTGCGCCACCTCATCGATACTGCTTTCCAACTGCTCGAGCGCTTTAGCCTCTGTCCTATACGCCTTTCCCATCCGGGCCTGCTTTCTTCTCAGCTGTTTTCTCCCGCCGGGTCCCTCGAATGGAAGTTTTCCTTTCTTTTTCTGTTGTGCAATATACGCCTCCCATTGTTTGTAAGCGCCTGCAACCCACACTTCATCCACCCGTCCTTCAATATAATTATTATTCCACAAATCCCATGCGCGTTTCCAGCTCGCCCATACTTCTTCGCCGTTTCCAGTATAGTTGTGAGTATAAGGAGAGGCATATTTACCGGTTCCGAGGAGGAAATCGCGTACGTCTTTGATGACGGAAGGATGCAGATTCTCGGCAAGAGGAGAAGGAATTCGTGTGGCAGGGATGGGAGATACTAGGGGGATTTGGTGTCGATTTTCAAGCATGCGGTGTTGGACTGCTGGGGCGGTGAGGAAGGGGGAGAAGTCATAGGTGGTGTATTTGTTTTGCGGCACGGAGAGAACATGTTTATTACGGGGGTCGGTTACGGGTCCTGCGGTGAGGGATGAGTTTTGGGGGGCCGCGGCTGCCATGGTGGATAATAAGAGGGGGTTTTGGCGATGGAAAGGTTGAAGGCGTTAATAAGTGAGTGAGGTGAGGTGAGATGATATGATCACTCAATTGCTTCAAGTATTAGAATTCGAACTATTATATAGCTTTCAGAATTAAAAAGAAGAAGCATACACTCGAGCTCGCTTTACTTCACGGGATCCAAGTATGCAATGAACAAGGAACAAGGTGGCAGGATCAAAGAAGACTTTTCGGCAAAGAAAATATTTCAGACATTGATTTGTTGACGGATACGGAATTATTGTCAATGTGAGAAGAATGGGCAAAGAAATTGAGCAATGCTTGGACGGAAGGGGGTTAGTGCTGGGAGTTAGGAATGTTGAGGGAGAGCCGAGGTTGGAGACAAAGGGTGGTAGTGATGGAGGTATGGATAGTCAAAGAAAATTGATGGGGGGAGATAGATGATGAAAATGAAGAAGTATTGAATGATAGGGGGGGTTTTGAGATACAGTTGTGAGGGATTGAATTTATGGATTCTGTTGTTGTTCCAAACCAGAATATCATCTAGATTACACCAAAGAGACCTAAATAGGTCACTAGACCTTCCATACAAAAACAATGCACCTATAGAAAGTGTTGCAAAAAACAAAGACTTTTAAATGATTCTCACTGCCCCTTTGATACTCCGCAATAACATAAGGGATATCGGAATAAGAATTACATTAGGTTTTGATTTCGCTTCATCCGGCAATTGTCATAAGCCTACACCACTGCCTGTATATCGATCCATCACATTGAATACTAGCTGATTATCCACATTGCAATCCATACCCGGTACACAACCCAATTCTGCACGAATAACAGCAGGGTCTGCTCCGGCCATTGTGGTTATTATATCGGTTGCAAATACACAACTATTCATGTTGTTGTTGTTTCCACCGCCGTCTGAGGACATGGTCGTGGCATATGTCGAAGACATTGGTGGTGAGGTTTGATGAGATGAAATGGATGAATGGGGGTTCGGAATTGGAACTGAATTCGTGTGGGCTTGTAAATGTGGATGCATGTGAGGGGTTTGCGGAGAAATGGTATTGTAGGATTGATTTGTCAGAAATTGCGGATCGAAATCGTAGATTGGAGGGGTTTGGATCGAGAGGCTCGATGAGGTACTATGTTGTGTATTTGGTAATGCTATTGATGTCATGTTGAATCGTTGCTGTTGTTGATTCTGAGCATTTCTGGCACTGCCCTGAGTTTGACTGATACTGCTATGACGACTTGCGGCGCTGCTTCTTCTCGGAATCATGAATTGTTGTGCGGATGAAGATCCCTTGACAGCTGATATTTGTGCCTGCCCTACACTCAAGCTGCGTAAACTGTGTACGGGGTCCCATAATGAATGAGCGGTATTTCCACTGCAAGAACTCTCTCGACTCTGGATTATTTGTCCCATTGTCGCTGTACTCGGCGGGCCAATACTGCCATCTCCGCAACACATTTTCCGTGTCTGGAGCAAATGCTCTAATTGTTGTACCGAAGTACTTTCACTCCCATATTGCCCCGATATCATTAGCTCTTCAGGACTCATTTGAAGATACGACTCGACTATATCATTTCCTACTCCCTGTTGTGCCAGCAGACTTCGTAATTTCTTGTTCTCATCTGCTACCCTTCTTGCTGCCATCTGGATCTCTGAAGAAGCCTCAATCCCCTGAAGTTCACATTGGCGCAATCGTGCCTCGATTTCTTGAAGGTACTCTTTTCTTCGGGCGCGGGATCGTCGTTGATTATCTCGAATGCGCGCAAGGTTTGCTTTTTCCTAGGACATCGCATTAGACCAAGTTTAAATTAAAGTACAAGAACATGGAACCTTGTCCTGGAAGGGAGTTGGGATACAGCAATAGCTAGAGATACCAATCGATATTTAAGCTTTTGCTGTAAAGTCTTGGCATTTGAACTCCCTTCGCGATCAAAAAATGCGAAGATTCAATTCAAAAGGAATGAAGCTTCATCACTCACCGCGACCGTCGACATGATGATGAGATATAATATGGTAATCGTCCAAAATTATGAAAAGTTCGTAAAGTCAATTGAATGCGCACAATTGATGGAGATTGAATTGAATACGAATAGCCGCCCTTATTTAGCGCGTCTTAACTTTGAATGTTCCCAATCGGCAGTGACATTCATACGCGTCAATAACTTCTAATAACTTTCTTTGGCATGCCTGGGTCTAAAACGATGACGATGACGATGACGATGACGATGAAGATGAAGATATAAAAGTTTGAAGGTTAATTCGGGGGAGAGATCTGATTATCGTAGGTAGGTATTTGAATCATCAGTTTAATATTATCTGACCCTTATACTCTTATACTCTTATACTCTTAGATTCCTCGATATTTGTTGTTCGGAGATGCCTTTGTGCAGTGAAGTGAACATCTGTAGCCATATGTATGCTATTGTACGCGTAAAGCGTGGCTGTGCCGGAGAAGCAGTATCAGTATTCAATGATCATTCTATAATCACCCCATATTATTGCTTCAAGTATAATATATAATAAATATATTTGTGTTAATTGGTCGATCGCGAGAATAAGCAAGTTCGTCAAAAAAAAAAAAAAAAAAGCCTCGACTTGAACGGGATATTATCCATCTGAACCTCTCATTACAATCTTTTCATCAATCGGGAAGTTTACCCGGTCGGCAGGACTCGGCACTTTCACCTAACCACAAGCCTTTTTCCATTACGCCGCGGAGAAACCTCAGTTTTCTCACCGCTTTCTTCTTCCTCCACAAAGTGCCAATATGTATGGGCAGAATAAGTTTCGCTTTGGTGGCACTGTGGCACTTGTGGCAAAGACGGTGAGACAAACTTCGGGACATCTGCAACCTTAACTTTAGATCCCGTGTTTTGGTAAAGGCTTAGGAGTCCCTTTGAATGATATTTCGGCTTCTTGGTGTTTGGTCCGGATATAAGGAAGTCATCCCATTTGCTCTAGATCGCCGCATATCCGTCAAAGTCGTCCGAAACATTTTAGCGATGTGTAATAAACAAATCTTCATCGACGATCATGTAATGTAATCTTACCTTTGAATCACATTTGATATTCTGGGTGAGAGATCTATTGATGGACTCAGATGGAGATGTCAAACCTAAAGTATTAGGTTTACGTTGCCTAGGGCAATGCAAACACATTGTTATTTACTCTACTTAGTGATGAATATGGAGTAATTAGGAGAAGTAAAGCATTAATCGCTAAGGGAGGGTGTGGGAGATGGTTCTATATGTACAAAATGAGGAGGAATAGTGACCGCGTTAGCGTCATATTCAACACTTAGTAGTAGTTCCATCTCACTTGCTATTCATTTGAAAACTTCTTCAATAATCTCATTCTTGTAGATAATCAACTCCTCTTAGTGTAGGTGTATAAAAGACACAAGAATTAACTCCTCTTAGTATCGGTATATAAAGACCAACAATCCAGTTTCTTGTGACGAACCATTCGTTCTTCAACCTATGGATAGCGAAGAGCTTCAGGAGAGTATCTAAAATTTAGCAAGTTCTTTGCATTCTGAGGTTTCCTCGTCGCTACGTATACGCTTCGTCGTTTTTTGAGCGACGATTAGACGAAGAAGGAGTGCTCTGTATATCTATTATGGGTCCATTTTCGATCGTCGACCATCTTGTACCTCAGTGATGATATATCTGTTGTTGTGTGTGTTCGAATGTTGTCATTTCAAACTATCATTCATAGATAGGTACAATTAGTGTTGTGAATAAAATATTTCAGAAGAGTACCAAAACGCTGGCTGTTTTCCACATACAGTACAACAGTCTTCATTCACAATTTTCGTCTTCCTAGTGGGATTATCTCGTTCATATTATTAAGATTGGATTTCTTAGAGATGATTATATATATATGTTTTATAGCAAGAGAAATCTGAGTGAAACGAAAGGATCGAGTCCATGTAGATAGATATGGATGTGAATCTACCAGTATTCAACTTTTGATACAAGTGATGGTCTAAGTAATCATCATCTAGTGATATATAAATACGGACAACTCTAAACTTTTTGCAAGAGCGTGAGGAGAAACTAACCAAGATATCAGAACTCTAACAGTCGTCGAGAACATGAAACAACCAGGTAGATGGGAGCGGGATATGTAAGACATCTGCGATCGCCGATTGGCTTCAAATATTGGATTTGTTGGTAGTTTCAAATATAAATCTAAGCCATAGAATTCAGATATCATCAATCGTTCCTGTTATCGTCATTTTGAAGTTGTTCCCACAAAATACAAGCGTTGTCTTTTATCTTCAACCTCAATATTCCCCAGATTCATAGGCATACGGACACATCATAGCCGCCTTGTTATATTAGAATATAGTTTGATCTTTCCAGAAGTCTGTCCTGAAATCATATGAGAATATAGATCATGGTACATCCCCCAGATAATATCCGTAGCTAAGAGAACAAGTACCCTTTTATAGCCCTCGAAGCAGAACCATAAACTCGGGAATATTAGATATTTAGTATACTGGCTTGGTGCGAGATATAAACGATTGTGGATTAGTATCACTGTATAATAATCCAGCGGAAGTATGCGGCTTGAGCAAAGTTCTATGCGGGGTACCGGTATATAAAATCCTAGCACACTCATTCACCGAAAAGCAAAAATTAAACTTAGAAAGTATAACTGCTGTCACAGGATCGTTGATGGGGGATGAAACAGCCACGGTAGAAATAGAAAGGATAGGTTTTCTCGAACATGCTTCGCGCTCCTTCAAATAGAGGACCTGGCAAGTCATAAGTTGTCGAACTACCATGAATTTTTTTGAGATTCCAAGTCAAAAACTTGTATATAAGCCCTACTTTCTTAACTTCTATGACATCTAATCAAGCAGTATTGATAATGAACCGATATACACCACGACAGAAGCAAATTGATTCGGAGACACAATCAGCGTCTTTGGTAAACACAGGTCTGCTACTCGTACATAGTTCCCACCAATCAATTGCGTGAAGCTTTGGTATATGGGATGTTGATATCATCCAACAATTAGACTTCATTCTATTGTCAATTAACACTCCTGGTGTTACTATCATCTGAATTCCCTAGTACCATGCTTTTAATTTTTCCTGCTGTCATTGTTAAACCCCCTAATTATCCATCATAAACCCATCTCAATATCAGACAATAACCCCTCCACATAAAAAGAAAACGTGACAAATTATCCTATGTAGAAATTCATACGCCCTCTTGCTGTCATCGAGGGTAATGTTACCATACACAATCATATTCAGGTGTAGAAAGCCCTTAAATAGTATAGAATTACCATCACCATCATCAGAATCGGGTCGTGTTACTTGTGCATGAGAACTGGGTGAATATAGTTTGCATCCCAATCGGAACTGACAATCACAGTCATACTCAGAGTTATACCTATGTCTAGACTTTAAGGGATTGGCTGTATCGTATTGTGGAGCAGAGCAGAGCTGCAGAAGAAAATTCTTTGAAGGTGAGGGGTGCGACACAACTTGAAGAGATATTTTTTTTTAATTTCGCTATTGAATTTGGTAAGTTGATGTTAGTGTTCTATTTTGATGATGGTAAGAAATTAATTATGCGTTTTGAAACAATGGCAATAAAAGGTATTATGTAATGGGATGGGTGAGGCTTGATATTAATTTCTCTGCTTTTAATGTACTGTACTGTACTCGAGAAGTAAGACTTATATTTCTTGTAACTCATGCTCAACACGGAGTCTGAGTACCAGAGATATAAAACCAATACACCCACCCTTGCAAATATTTTCTAGACATCATTGTTATTTCAATGGCGCGATCTGTGATAAAAGGTTTTCGGAAAAGGGGGAGGAGATTTAAATATAGGCGAAGAAAAGGGGCCTTGTCCCCTGTTTGATCAGGTGAAACAAGTCAATATAAGAAATCCATATCCAAGTAGTCATGGTCTGTGGTAAGTATGCAACCCTTAACTCACCATGAAACTCAAACCTCAACTCGTCACTCGCTGTGGAGATGTAGTGGTGGAGGCAGGGTATTATCTGCAGTTCAGCAACTCTAAAATGGTTGGTGAGAGGATGATTGGAAATTGTTTTATGGAGAGATTCTTCGATTAGAGGAAGTATACGTTTGTACGAATGTTTATTGATCTATTTAGTATTCATTGCTAGCTATTGTTTGTTTGTTGTTATTACTATTCATATATTGACACTAAAACACAGAATATCCGACAACGATTACTTACCAAAAGTAGACATACCACTTCTCCAAATTTGTACCCGAGTGGCTAGAAATGGAGTTGGAGTGTGAGTCTACTGGCGCCTACTGGAGTAACACAACATGCCGCTGAAATACTTTCGTTCCTAATTCTGCGACAAATTAAAACACAAGGCTAGCGGGATATTAAATAGTGTGGAGGTGGTGCGTGAGGTGTGAGGTTTATGGATGAGGATGAGTACCGGTAGTCTGTATGGGTATACAGGTGAATATTCCTTAGGATAATTACAGTATGATTCATACTAGTTGTCTGTATGTGATTCACTTCCTACACTTTTAGTTCTGCACCCCGAACTTTGGTAACCTCTGCTTTTTTTTACTTTGCGGACTTTAAAAGTTCGCTCAAATTTATTAACGGAAGATGAAGTAATGGCACAGTATCTACGACATGGGGTCTATAATGATGTGAATCCTGACTCCTGATCTAAGAACTGTAGACCTAGCATATCATCGTAATAAGAGCGTGAGTAGATAGTATCTTACATTGCTGTTGTGGAAGTGAAGTTGAAGAAGAGTTTCGCTGTCACGAATAGACTCTCTCACTACAAGAAATATTTTGGCCGCCATCAGTGTCCTTACTATTGCAAATAATATCAGTCCATGAAGTGTTATTAGCGAAGTTTGAAGTTATACTCTTGCCATATATGCCCGTTCCAACTATGATAGTTAGGCTATTTGCTATCAAATATCTCGTACTAACATATGTGAGTTTTGTGCCAGAACAGAAT